TTTATATTTATTTTATTCTGTCTGTGCAACGCGCCGAGGCTGCTTGAAGCCACACGTTCCGTGTCCTCGCGACTGTAACCTCCACTAACCACAAGAAAACAAAAAGGGGACGAGTGTTACTTTGTGGCTATAACAATTCTGTTGATCTCGTCACCCTTATTCCACAACCCAAACAGAGAATGTGTTTATCAAATTTATTAATTGGTGCACTCACATAAGAATGTAGCACTACCAGAGCACTAAATTTTTGGGGGAATTCATGAGGGAAGCACGTAGAAACAGCTGTTTGTGGCTTGCAGCCCTCTCTCTCTCTCAATGACTGTCCCTTCACTTCCCTGTCATTTCCCTTCTGTCTCTGGATCAGGATAGTATTAACGGTATTTCTTAGGACTGGCATAGTCGGTGCATAGGCACAAGTTCTGGATGACACTAGTTTAGGTTAATGTTCTTTTCTGGGAAGTTTACCTGAGATTTGAAAACACAAAAGCTAAAGCATAAATTTGACCTCTGTGTTTAATATTTTTCTTTATATACTTCCTATTAGCCTGTTAGCTTAGGATAGCAGCATTTTTGCCGAATTTACAGCACTTATATAACCATCAAAAACATATTTCAGAATTTTTTATAGGTTCTCACCATAAAACCAGTCATCTGGAAACATTAAAAAGCCAGCCAGAGATTATTTTTCTACCCAGCTCACAGAATTAACGTTAATTAGCTAGCTAGTTACAACGGATATAATATGCTAGCAACAGCTTTAATTTCATACGGCAAAAGGGATGGTCACTTGCTAAAAATGAGATGTCTGCTTTTGAGGCTTGACATATGTGTCTTTTGCTGCTTTTTTATCTGCTTCTGCCTGAAATCAGGGACACATTGTTAAATTAGAATTTTGAGTGCCACCTCTGACACTGTAAACTGCATCCTAGAATTCAAAGCATAACAGGCATAGCAGAAGTAACAAGGATGAAACTAGATGAAATTAGAAGTTAATTTGACAATGGCGTGCTGTTTCATTCCTTTTCTGTTTTTTGTTTCACCCTAAGCAACATTGTACTTAAACTCTTATGTTACTGTATTATCGTTATATATCAGAGAATGTTATATTGTTATGTCATTGGCAGGTCAGACATGTCTGACCATGACTTTATGAAGATAATATAATATTTGAGCCTTTGTCCCCTTGTACCAGTGTAACAGCTCTGGTTAATTAATTATCTCCATGCTGGACAATGTGTGGTTGTTCGTCTGGAGGGAGAGGGGGTAATGTGGAAAATATGCAGAAAATGTATTTGGGTTGACTGTCTGTCTATTAATAATGATTGTGTTTGGATAAATAGTGCCCTACTTTCACAATCTGTGGATCTAAATATTCCCAATAGGCTGCTTCCCTCCTGTATTGATTGATTGGTATCGTGTTTAAAGGTCATAGTCATAAAACATCAGGATGTAATTAACAAACGTATTGTGTGTTGACTTTTGAAGTTATAGCTTTCCTCTCAATGTAGTGTTTGGATTACCATGTGTTATTTGAATTTAAGATTAGGTCCAGAGGAAATGTTATTTCTGATGAGAGTGTTCCTCACCAAAAAAGAGCAGGAACGTTTTCCAGGCCTGTGATACATATTCTCATCTAGTGTGTCGTTAATTATGATTTCCTTCAAGGAACAGATGGACTATTGTGTCTCCTTTTCCTCTGAACCACTAGCCTCCAAAATACTGAAAACCTGCTTACAAAAAATGCAGTCACGTGGAGCCAAGACACATGTGATGGTCTGGCTACGTATGGTTACTTTATTCTGTTTCTACACAGATAGTTAATCTGGGAATACAATAAACATATTGAGCTGCTTTTAACCTGATTCAACCTGCCTCGGCCTTGATATGACTAAAAGCTGAGGGCCCACTGATGGATGGGACACTAACGGCATCACTTAAATGTTTCTTTTCAGGATTGTCACCCAAATGCGTTCAATTGCTTTCAGTCGTCCAAATCTTAAGGACTGACCACCTCATTTTGTACAATTTTAATAGCTTGTGTTATCAGGTTCCATTTGTAAATAACAAAAGAAAGCCTTCACTGTGTGGCAACACATTCGCTCTCTTATTACCTTGGGAGTTGAGTCTATTCATATTTCCTAAGATTGAAAACATGTGTTTTGGTTTGTGAAGACATTTGTCTGAATGTCTGGGCTTTCTTTGGCAAAAAGGATGGAATAAGCTTACAATTTTTTTTTCTTTCTCTCTAATAGCCTTTGCACCAACAGAAACATAGAATAAACTGGTTTGAATTTTGAAACCAAAAGCAAAAAGATTTATAAATGTTAAAATTTGCTTTTCATTTAAATATGATTAATTTAATAAAATTCTATTTCAAATGTGATAATTTCTGAATTATTAGTTGCCGTGTTCCAAGTGAATTTGAATAGATTTTTTTTACATGAAATGACCTGATGGCGAACCTAATCTATGGCTTGTCAAGAGTAATATTAAAAATCAGCCGGAATGTTTAAAATGGTTTTGTTTAGTAGACCAGATTCATTTGAAAAAGAACCCTATTTACTGACCTTCAATTACTCAAACCCAACTGAACCAACAGAACAGGATGGAATGTAACATGTTAAATACAACACATTAAAAGAATTTACAAATGACTTGTAATTGCAGTAATGTTTATTCTTCTTACCTAATCCTTCCTATGCATTCATAGAGAGAGTTTGTAACACAAAAAGGTGTTTGGTTTTCATTTGGCTTGAGAAGGAAAAATCACCACAAAAGAACCCGATATGAGTGGAAACCACAACCCAGTAATGTCATCAGAGCGACTATAATCAAAGGAGGCAAAAGTTCAGGATCTGAATGCAATGAAATGTATCAGTTCCTTAGAACCTACTGACATAGCTCACTTGTGGAGGAGCAAGCCTAGACAGAAAGGGCTGAGTAATGAAGATGGATGCATTCTGTTATCAGGCAGCCACTTACTGGGGCCTGATGTAACCTTAAACATTGAGGATAGCTCAGTTGCACAAAGAATCTAATTAATGAATAGCAGCCGTGAAAGAGGACAAGGCAAGTGTGCATTTGCAGATGAATTCCAGACACTAATCAAACGCTGTTCGAGTGGTTTGGTTTGTCTCCAGAGCAAGGCGATATTTGGCGAGGATTTAAGGCAGAGTTTACATGCTGGCTTGATGACTGCGTGCGTGCTTCAGTGTTTTATGTATGTGCATTTATATGTTGTTGGGGTTTTTTCTGTTTAACTGTTTCAGTGTTTTATACAGTTTTTGAAGTTCCAAGCCAGAGGTAAAAAAAAGGAGCAGATGTAAAGACAGGTGTGAGGTTGTATTACAACAATAGGGGCCAAATCTGTCCTGCTTTACTCACTGCCACTGTAGCTCACTGTGTATTGATTGTTTTAAGATGGAATCGCACAACACAATTTAAAACCCAATGGCCACTACATTAGTTTGTGTCCAACTGAGCAGGTCACCATATACTGTCAGTGCACATTATTTTGTAATGTTAGGGTTTAGGGGGCAAAACTCTTGCCTTAGACAAGTAGGAAATTATTTAACGAATAAAGTCTGACAAAATCTGGATTCGATCCATGTGATCCATCCTTCACTTGTTTAGAACACAAATCAAACCACATTATGCTATGCCTGTTATTGGCCAACATTAGACATTTATTTGGCCACATCTTTTCACAGCCGGTCGGACATACAGTCGACCAATCAGAGCTTTGTGGGCAGGATTAAGAAATGGTTATGTCATCTTTCTAAATAGCTAGCTACCTACTGTAAAAATGAACATCAGAAAGTAATCACAACATGCCTAGTAGTGTTGTAGTCAAGACCGCCCAAACCGAGAAAAAGTCAAGACGAAGACCAGAGTTTATCAAGACTGAGACAAGACCAAGACTTTTAGAGGCTGAGATCAGTCGAGACCAAGACCGAGGGAGGGCGAGACCAGTTCCCTGCATTGCATGGCACGCAATAAAATGTGGAACGAGATCATAGGTAGTTCTCAAAGTGATCTGAAAGATCGACATTCCCATTAAAACACCCACATACAAACACTAAGAGCTGAACGTCAACGTAAGCATCGCAGGTAGGGGTGACAGTCGTTAACGGTAACAACATGTTTTAGGGTTATTCGTTGCATTTGAAGCAATATATTTTACTTCCAATCAAAGTTAGGATATTAAGAAATCAGACAATGCAAGAGCAATTTATTGATATTCCTAAAATTATGGTCTTGCCTGGTCTTGAAATAAAATCCTGAGTCCTCAATATCCGAGACCGAGACAAGACCGAGTACAAAGGCGGTTGAGTCCGAGACGAGACCAAGACCATCAAAAAGTGGTCTCGAGTACTACAACACTAATGCCTAGATGAGACTGACACAGCCATAAAGGTTCGTCAACTCCGAAATAATTGTCATGAAAAACTTCAAATTAACTGATTCTAGCAACCCCTTCCACACCTTCCATCTTTTTTGAAAATGATGTCGGTGGGGCAGATACTGCAAAATAAAACAAAACAACCTCCCGTCCTAACACGACTTCAGCTAACAACATGATGTCAGGCTAAATAAAGGCAATGGTCTGCAGCCATGCTAGGAGCTCTGTGAGGCTGTGCTTGGACACAGCTGTGATCTGAACTAATGCTCAGAATGACAATGTTAAAATGCAGATATTTGTCAAGTAATGTTTACCATCTTAGTTGATCTTGTCAGATGAAAAGTATGTTCCTAAAATTCTTCCTAAAAGGGATACATGTAGACGATTGGCAACCCAATAGTTGTTGGGATATTCCAATCTGGACCAAAGTGGAGGACCAAGTGGTCGACAATGCCATCCAGAGAGCATGGTTAAAAACTCTCTATAGTGTTTGTGGCTTTAGATCTTTATTATTGTCTAAGAGTGAGTAGTGAGTAGACTCAACAGTGTGATTGTGTGGTGATGTCATGAAACTTGCTTTCTTCTTTCTCCTTCCCAGTACCAACTCCAGTGGACTTCCCCATGGCGGTCGGTGAGCCTCCAGTGGCAGACATGGCTGGTGCTGATCACTGCGTTTGTTTTGGTGGGTCTGGTGCCTTATGTTGTTTACTGCATGATGACCGCCTTCACCAACCCGCCTCCTCCCACCACCTTTAAAGTGGCAGCAGCCTCTTTTGGTCTGCTGTCAGAGATCCTGTTGATCAAGTGAGTGTTTTATTTTTATTTATTAACCTTCATATCTGTTAACTTTTTAGTTTTTAATGTGCTCTTGGTGTGAACTTTGGATAATATGCCAAACACTGTCAGAATATTAATCATTAAAATAATAATTATGGTCTTTTCGGTCTTGTTGTCTCGTCTTCGACGTGTTTTCATCTGCCAAATACAAACAGTATTTTCAAGCAACATGTCATTTTTATGTGGGTTTCAAAACAAGAAGCGCAAGTGTCCGTGTCATCCAAATAATCATCTCTGAAAACATGCTGTTGTCCGACCCAAAACAGCCCCCCACCACTCTTGTTTTCACTTAGTCTTCTTTCCCATTTTGATATTGCTAATTGGAATCATGCCTGCGGTACTGTAAACCATTAGTAAATGAACAGTCTGTTTTTATCAACATCGAGCTTGTAAATAATGCATCAGATTCCTGGCATAAACAATACCTACTCTGTGATTAGAAAGCAACATATGGCGGATACCGTAATCAGATTACAAATACAGGTTATGTAATTGCTTAAAGCAGTAACTCAGTCAGGCTGCAAATAAAAAAAGTACTTGCTGGATTACTTAGAATTATGTTTGAAAAATAATGAATAGATAAATAATAATCCTAACTTTGAGAATGAAACCACATTTTTATGTGACTAAACTGCTTTTGTTGCCAGTAGCAAAATGAAACTTTGTTTCTTCATCTGTCCCTCCTCCAGTATTTGTCTTAACTAAAATAAGAGAGGCTGTTTGTAATTAACTCAACAAGGCTCGTAACTTTTTTTCCCCCCATTAACCGCCTTTGCAAGGAATGTGGCTAGTGAACTGGTAATTAATAAATATGGTTGCGCTGGTAATGTGCTTCTGCATCATTATGTTGTTGAAGCCCTTATCCATGCTAGTAATGAGCTGTAATTTTATGACAGGAAATTGGTTTGTTTACAACACTTTCAGCAGCTTCAGACGAGCTACGTTCTTGGCAGATCTCGGCTGCAGGTATTTGCTCATTGTTTGAGTTGAAAGAGGTTCAAAAATGTTGTCATGCTAACAGTTATACTGTTAAAATGCTACTACTTTGTTAATGTGCATGAATCATTCAAAATAACGTGGCATTACATATTTATGTTGTTTTGAAGCTTCAAAGCCCAAATCTTAAAAAAAACAAACACAGATCCTCATATTGTGGGTACTGTATGTTATATGGAACAGAAACAATCATTACATTCGTTGGATATATATCTGCTTAACATGCGGCCTAATACATTAGAGGTATCCCACTACACTAATCACGTTTCCTGTCCACTGTTGCTTACATTATTACTGGTACAATAGGAAGGTTGGTGGGTGCCCTTATTAGGATCAGTGGGCCTCATAGACCCGTGCCCCATAGTGCTTGTACTGCCTGGGATGTGCCAGCCTCCTGCTGCCCCCTGTCAGGGTGCATCTCAGTAACTCTTCACCCTGAGGGTGGAAGTCCTTGTAAGGAGCAAACCCCCTCGTCTCTCACCCACCACATGGTGTGGTGGTAGTCTTTGCAACAGGAATGAGACAAAGACAAACAAGTAAACAGTTCAGAATGACCTTTTATTGTGTTGGATCCATGTTGTGTACTCGTGTTCATTTACAGTGATTCGTGATGAAATGGTAACATGCAATAATGCCAGTCTATTGGCAGGGGGGCTAAAGCAGTTTGCAACCCTCCTAACTGAGCCTCTGGGTCTCTGTTATCTGTTGTCAGTTGCCATGGCTGCACAACTTCAGATGTAGGTTTAGTTTCCTACAAAGCAATTTAATTGTCAAATTTTGTCATTATAGGCCAGTTCTGAATACTATACTGAATACTACTAACATAAAGGGAAGTCATTTTCTTTATTAGTGCCATGTTTTTTATCTTGCTCTTCTGTTCCTTAAATCTTAAAGGATAAGATTACCAATATTTTATATATTTTGTATTGTCAACAAATCCTGCAAGTGTTGCCTGATATATCTTCTTACTCTGAGCCATAGAGATCCATTGTTGAAAACACATCAATGAGCCACACTGTTGCTCTGGCTGACATCCTTCTTTAGTACCTTGAAACACACACACTGTAGTTTATTTTCATTCAATCTCACACTGGGTGCGAATTATACAATGACAACTTTTTTACCAGTTCATAGAGGAAACCCAGTACAGCCCAGGTACATGTGACAGTGAACTAAAATCTTACAATGCTTACAATATCCTCGCTTATTTAACTAATGTCATCAGTCTGTAGATGATAAATCAAATTTATTCCACCAGTTGATGGGTGCCCCATACCAGACAACAGCTTTTGTAGTCAGAGGTCACCAAGTATTCTAGAGCAAATAAACACACAACAGCAGACCATCAAAACGCTCAAACACAGACCCACACAATGCTGAACCACAACCAAAGACACAACCATAAAATACAGGCTGCATTATCATCTCTAATTCCTAATTCTTATCGTTTCAAGTTGTAAGTTTCAACATACTCTTTTTAGCAAATTTCTCTCATGCTGACTGTGAATACAATGTAATCTGTGTTCAATAAAGCAGTAGTCATACACTGTTGGGTAATTGGGAATTGTTTGATCTGTTGGGTGGGGGCGGCTGTGGCTCAGGAGTTAGAGCGGGTTGGCCGTTAATTGGAACGTCGGCGGTTCAATCCCTGGCACCCCCTGGTTGCATGTCGAAGTGTCCTTGGGCAAGATACTGAACCCCGAATTGCCCCTGGAGGCTGTTCTGCCAGTGTGTGAATGTTAGTTTCCATTTGAGCACTTAGGCTCAGTGTATGTGAAATAAATGAAACTCTTAAGGTAGGAAAGTTAAGTGTATTAAAGCTGCTAGATAGCTAAGTACTGACATTAACTTACGGTGTCTCCACCAGCGTGTGGTGCACTGAACTGGAGCAGCTGCCGCTGCGAATGATGTGGGCAGACAAGACATTAAACTAATGTCTGAAATTGTATTTCAAGATTCTTGAATATAAGGCATGAATATGAGAAATATATTGTAATATTTACAAATGCAGGTAAGAAAGACCCCCCTGAACTGTTGTTTTTGCCTCTTTTGAGGGCGTCCAAGCCTTAATTAGGGGGGTCAGACCCCCCCAATCCCCCCCGTAATTCGAACCATGATCTCACATACACTTTCCTGCTGCTGTAAATACTCACTAAAGAGCACCAAAGATGTGTTAATCCACAGCGGAAAACAGTCCCTAAGTCCTGTTTGAAAAATGTTTGCTAAAAACTACAGGGCCCAGCTGTTTTAGGAAATTATTAAGCCTTTTTAGAAATAAAACTATTAACTCGTCACCCATTTTTAACATTAGACCAATCATTAATGGTAATTAGTAGTGTTTCTGTTCAGTTTCCTGCCTTTTGTCTAAGGAAAAAAGTTATCCTGCTATTATAAAGACATTTTGTCATTAGACAGTACAAGCAGGAAAAGAGAGTATAGCAGCTTAGGGTTCAAGTGCTAAAAGCTACAAATTCATGTAAATGGAGACCCACTGAATTATGTCCAGGTTTAACACTCTCATTTGTTCTTCCTCTACTTAAGAACTTCCTCAATTAATAGGTCTCATTTCAAACTAAGTCCATTGCACTCTGGCTTCCTTTCCACATTTTGAAAATCCACAATAATATTTTTTTTGCCCACCCACTCGCGCTGCAGGTCTGTTATTGGACACATTCACAAAGTCACAGGACATTTGTCAGGGTTGAACTGCCTTTCAGAAGGCTGTCACACAATATGCACCCTCTCCTTCTTTTACTGTCATGGCGAGAGTTGGGGCGCAGAGACAGTGCCCTGACCATGCAGCTCTGCACTGTGAATTTTTATATGCCATTGCCTGGAGGTTAGAAACTCTCATTATGCCGTGTTAGATTTATTAAAATAGATTATGGAAATGTTAATTAAGTCATTAATTACATTATTTAAGCAGCATTGACAGATAAGGGAGTGTGTGTGTGTGTGTGTGTGTGTGTGTGTGTGTGTGTGTGTGTGTGTGTGTGTGAGGGGGGTGTTGAGCTCCCTGGGTGGTTTAAAAGGATGTGATTGGTGACAAGGGACACTGTGGAGATGGCGTCTAACCGCTAGCGCTGACATGATACAAAGTGGCCTACACTGCTCTCTCACCTCACGCTACTGTCTACAGCAGTTTGCAGAGCTGCCTCAGGACGAGAAGCTCATCGCCCTTTTGCAGATATAAGTGTACACAAGGGTATAAGTGTGCTTTTTTTTTTATGTCGCCACTACACGTAAGTTAAGAGTATTTGGGGATGGAGAGAGCACAGTGCTTAAAGTGTACACATTTGCGTTCTGCCTTACGTTGTCCTCTGTTTGAGCATTTGGACGAAGCATTTGCTGTGACATTTTACGCAAAGGCCTCAAACCATATTTCCAATCTGTTCCAAAGGAAAACACAACGGCCCAAATGTAAGATAAATTACCCAGGAGTTGATACTATGGACTCTCTTATCTGTTGACAGTTTAGTTACCACGAAGCACAGGAAATGTGTTTTCCAATTCTCTGAGAATTGAGCTTTTCTTTGTCCCATCAAACCTATATTAAGGGAGGGAAAATTGCTCTGATCACACTTGATAAGAACAAATGATAGATGTTGTAAACAAGCAGAGCATGCTTCAATTGTGATCTGAGGCATTGATTTGCCTCAGCAGCCAATTACTTTGTGGACTGAGCTTATGCATCCAGTCAATCTGCTGGGCGAGGGATTTTTTGCTTGCTGTCCAGTGTATTACTTTGTACCAAACGGTTCTGTTGAATTAAAATTTATTATTAACGGTTATAGTTTGAAAAGTACAGGTGGAAATAATGAGCATCAGTCTTGATTCCTCAGGTCCTCCATCAGGTTGCCAGGCAGTACTAGAAGGTGGATGTCTTGATATTAAGTGGCTGCTGATTGTAGGAAATGATACGGTATGAGGCTGTCCGACCACCTCGGAGTCAAGCTATCATGATTAGCTCCTACATCAGTCACATGAACCCTGTGATAACTAACTCATTACTGTGATACTTAGTATGCACCAACATGAAAAATCACATGATAGCACTTAGCCTCCACACAAGACTGTGTGATAGCAGCTGAGTACACTGTGAGAGAACAAAGCACTGCACTATGCCTTTTGGAAGGTCTGGATGTTTATTACAGTTTTATCTGTTGCTTTATATGTGATGGTGTTTTAGGCAAATAAAACCTACAGTATACCGTAGATTTTTCAGAACAAAATTACATCTTAAACACTGCCCACGGCGTGTCTAGGTGGAGGTACTTGTAACCTCTCGGCCATTACAAGGTAGTTTATTTCTCATTATACACACACAAGGTAGTATAACGAAAAGAAAGTTTGCATTCCCTTCATTCCCAACACACACGGAACTGAACAGATAACTAAATGTGTATTAAAGTATGGTAACATAAAAAATAAAATGAAAAAAAACAATGTATACAGTTATTGAAATACATATATACTTACACGTATAGTCTACACCCAGAACATTATGCAGTGCATTAACCAGACAGTGATATGCTATAACAACCATGTCTCCGAGGAATACATTCATTTATACAACTATTTCATTTAACATGTTCACTGTCAACATATTTCATTATTAACATTGTTATAGGTTACTTCTTAAGTGGTTCAGTTGAGAGTACATCCACATTGATCTCCTCCCTATTACTTCTCTGCAATAGGAAAGTCATGCATCTTAGAATTAGAAAGAATGTTGCAAGTGAATGTAATTGAGGATATTGAGCACAAATTATGTTTCCCCCAAAACCTATTAGGGCAAAGGAGAAACTACTTATTTGGGAAGAGTCAAAGTGTGAATGTAGCTAATTGGGATAAGGGATGAAGCAGTCAAACCTTGAGTCCCTGAGTCAGTTCTCACCTAATGTTTATAACTTGATGGTGTTTCCTCAGGTGTGTGTCCAGCTACCTCAGCAGTCGTTACCGGCAGGCTGAGAAGAGCTCCTTCACAATCAAGGCCAGAGGCTTTAAAGAGGACAGAACGAGCCCGGGCTGCTGGGATCGGTCTGAGGCCGCTTCATCAGCAGCCTCGCCCAGTCAAGTGGAGGAAAGAAAAGCGGATGTGTTGACGAGTGGACGTCTCATCCTTTACTGAACCACTAACAGAAAGAGTTTACAGAACACAGGGTGAGAGTGAATCCGTTGGGTATGAGATAATTCTAACAGCCATTTAAGATCAGTGTGGCATTTATGAGATTTTACACTTTAAAACCTGTTTTTGAGACGTCAAATATTCTTTTTTTCCTCTGTGTTAAACCCCGGCACTCTCACTTTATCCTGTGGATATATTCTCGCATATTACAAATTGATCATAAGGAGGCTGATGCACGCAGCTTGCTTGTGTTCAGGCTCAGAGAAAAAAAAAAAGAGCCTGAAATCACTCTCGTTCCTTAATGATGTCCACACAGAGACAATGGGGCGCCGCTCTGATTAGTGTCACCTGTCCTTGTGCATCTCATCAGCTCCATTATGGCTCCGTCTCCCATGCTTCTTTTGCTAATTGAATAGCCTGTGAAGTGGTGACGGGGACGGGGGCGAGAGAGGCGTCTGTCCCGCTGCTGCTTCAGAAATGAGAGTAAAGCTTCCCAGTGAGACACTACTGTCGTTCTTTAAACATAAACCATCATCAAACAGATAGAAGAAGTGTTAAGTAGCCCTCATGTTATATTACCATCATCTCTTACGGATTGTGTTAATATATAACTGCTCATCTGCTATATGTTTGAGCAGGATACAATGCCACACGATACACATTTCCTGTTTGTTTGATGCATACTACATGAGTTTAAGGAACTGGAAGATTTGGTGTAAGTATAATGCTGGCATTATTCTATATTTTTTGTACTGTCAATAAATCCGATGAAAAGATGATGATGTTAGATTAATTCCTGGGGCACGGCTCTGCTGCTGACCCTGTGCTCACCTTCCATTTGTTTGAGTTTGTATATGTTCTTGTTTTATGGGGATTAACGTACAGGGATCAACTTTCACCCACAGAGTCACAATGAACTGGAAACGCTCGTTGGACAACTCAGCATGACTTCCTGGTATACATGCATGTGCTCTAAGCTCACATGCCTGTGATTTTTGGGCCTTAATTTTGCCGTTGGACAGCGGTGAATTAAGAAACATAAGACAACCAAAGAGAAGAACGAAACGAGGGGTCCAGAGGAGGCATGAGAGAATGGCTACAAAGCCCCGGCTGCAGATTCCCTTTACATAGATCGTAGATCAGCAAAATCACTTGGAAGCGTGCTGTGTATCTTTGTGGAGAATAACAGAGAAAGACAGTTCCGCAAGTTTTAACCGTCTCTTTTAGACCCTTCTATCTTCCACGAGTGTTTTGGTCAAATCACTCTTATTCTCACTTATGTGTCTGGTCTAAATAATGATGCTGCAGCAGAGAGGCTAGTGCAGAGTTACAATGATGCCCTCCCTCGCTCTGCAGATCAGCATGCTTTTGTTCTTGGAGATGTGGAGATGGAAATGTGATTTATCTTGGTATTTATATGGACTCCATGCCAATGTATGGACTGTCACACTCATGAGCTTTGCTTTGGGAACACTTCCAGATGTCTATTACACTGCAGACCACCCCATGGGAGATCGCACCTCAGTGCTGCTCAAGCATAAGGTACTAGTGAAACAAGTGTATCCTGTCACTAAAGTAGTACAATTGTGGTGTAAGGAATGTAAAGGTACTGAGGGACTAGAGAGTCTGGAGGACACCGTGTGGGACCTTTTCTTCTATCTTGCATGAAATCACAGACACTGTTTCCGCTTACATTTACTTGTGTGAGGATAATGTGTCTGAGACAAAAAGTCTTGGGTATCAAAAGAACTGAAGGCATGTCGTAATGAAAAGGAAATAGCCTTTTGCATGTGGTGACACTGAATTATTGTCTGAGAAGAGGAGACAACTTAGAGGAAAGATCTTTGAAGCTAAAATAGATTACAAGATTGAAATTAAATTTTCAACAGGTGTCATAAGACACGCATGGAAAGACTTAAATGCAGTAATGGGGAGGACCAGAAACAGGGAAGAATGCTCTGTCAGTAACAGCCAGCCCTTTGCTAATGAGTTAAATGTTTTTACATTAGATTTGACTGTGTAGATGACAGCATGGAACGTGACAGACTTAGCAGCATCCCCCCAGTTAAAAGGAGTCTTTACAGGGTTATACTATTCTAATACTTTTTAAACTCACACACAGTGCTTAAATCATAGAAATTCTCAATCAAAAAGCCAAAAGCAAGAATGCTGAATGACTTTTGACCAATAGCCATCATTAGCTATCTTCCTCTGTGGATGAGTATTTGGCCCAAACACACGCTCTTTAGGCATGGTGCAAGAGTAGCAATATGGAGATCAGTGTTGATAAGACCAAAGAAAGGATCAATTGTGCCAAGCAGGATTTTACAACACCTACATCTCCTTTAAACATGATTAAAGAACATTCTTTCCTACTTTTTGCCATCAGTCTTGTAAGTTATGATAAGATTTTCATTACAAAATTAATGAGCTTGACAATTGTACAATAGAGTCCAATACGTAAGCGATCCAACCATCATCTCCATCATTATGAAAATCACTTATTACATTTGGTTAGTTGTGCGTTATTAGTCAAGTGAGGTCACTCAAGCAATTAAGTATTGCACTTCAAAATCCCCCCTTTAATGGATTAAGTTCACTATGTAATGTAATTCATGGGGAACTGTCTTGTACATGAAATTATTATAATGAATAATTTAATGTTGTGTTGTGATTTTATATATGGAAACAAACTGAGGCAGGCCTCTAGCTGATGTTTACCTTGAATCATTTTCAGGACTATCTGCATTTAGTAATGGTAAATACATAAGATCTATTTTTTTCAGATCTGCAAAGAAAACCTTGAAATAAAAAAGAGGTATTTGATTTGATTGGATAAACAGTGCCAGCTGTGATGCAGGGCTGTAATTTTGGTGCCTCTCCTGCCAGGCAGGAGCTTTGCTGTTATCTGCGTGTGCCTGAGGCACAGCTAATGTAAAAAGATCCTCCTCACTCTGCTGTGTTCAGCTAGCAGTGAGCTCGGCAGGCTTATCCTGCTCAGTCCCTCTCCGTTTCACCTCTCGGTCACAGCCAAGTGACTCTCAGATGCGCACCACCTCAGCTCGGGCATTTCTATAGACAGAATAGATGAAGTACAGCAGTATCTCCCACTGCTGTATCTGGTAAATGCCACAACAACAGGACTGCAGAGGCTTCCCAGTGTCCCCATGCCTGTATGGTTCCGGGGCTTAATGTGTGCGTGTGGGGCCAGATGGACACTTTCATGAGTATGTGAGTGTGGATTATTCTGCCGGCTACATCTGGGGCTCCACATGGTACAGCAGACTGCGGTAAGAGAGGCAGGTGGGCACGTGGGGAGGGCACCCCTCCAGTGGGCCCTCTTACATCTATACTCACCGACATAGCATCTCCGCAAATGGCAGACCGAAAGGTTACACGACGATCCTGCAAGACAAATGCTTCTCTGAATCCAGGCAAAAATGGTGTCCTCTTTCTTTAACTTCCTGTCTGACAGCAACGCCTTACTGTTTTCAGGTGCTCAATGTGACTACAGAGTTATTTACATGTCCAAGCATTTTTTATATACACACACACATTGGCAGCAATTTGGGGTGCAGTGTCTTGCTCAAGGACACTTTGTAAGTTGGACAAGAGGAGCCAGGGATTGAGCTGCCACTCCTATGATTAATGGCCTACCTCCTCTACCACCTGAGCTACAGCTGCCCATAATATGAACATGCCACCACAATGGACACATTATCACATTATGTTCTAATTCATTGTAGTGTTCATCACCGGGTCAAGCAAGCAGATCATATGACAACGTAGCGGGCAGACAATAGAAAGTAATGCTTCCTGAGAAAACACCAGCACTGTTAGTTAATTAATCGTTTAGTCATCAACAGAAAATAAATCGGTTTTAATTATTTTAATAAGCATGTAAAGCAGTATTCACTGATTATTTTGGCCACTTCCCGGCACACAACAAGCTGTAAACACCACATTGACATGTTATTACCTTACATAGTTGACATGGCAAACATGTTAGAAAACAGTTGCCTCTTTACACATAATGCAGATGCAGTGCAACATTTGTATTGTCCACATGATGGATGTCCAAAATTCACTCTCTTTTTAGCCCTGTTTTGGTCTCCACCAACTCCAAAAACAGCTCTCTTTCGGTGCTAAATGCTCCACAACGTATACCAGCTAGTTGCTAACTTTGTCCTTGCGCCATTAGGTGCTGGGCAGGTATGACACACAGTTTATAAGAATTTTTCACTGAAACACATGCCTGTTGTTGCTGAAAATGAGGTTAATGTGTGTGTAAAACTGAGCTAAAGTTGTGGGCCATTGAAACCAAACAATGAACAAGGTACTGCTGAGTCGGGTGATAATTCTGTGTGGGTTCACAACATTAATATTACACATTGTGATTTAACCAATTGTTAATGTAAAAAAAAGCTTTAAGTAATTTATCAAGCAAATATACCAAACATTAGCTGGTTCCAGCTCTTAAATTTGTGGATTTGTTGCTTTTCTCTGTTTGATATCACACACACAAGTATAATTAATGAGTGAATTTGATATTTATTCCTTTAGAAAATAATTTTGCACTATATGATATGCACAATGTGGTTTAATTGCGATTCCATTTTTTAAAAAAGTTGATATTCAGCTTTGGGTCAGGTTTGGCTCAAAACAACGTGGTTTGGGTTTTGTTCAAACAGACAGAATTTTCTCAGCCTCGGGTCGGGGCAGGCCTGGTTTTTATGGCGCAATCAAAGCTCTACACTTACAAGCTGCATCATTTCCTATGAATCCCTTACGTATAGTTAGGCAATCTGAATGCCGCATGGGAATGGCATGACATTGGTACAGTATGTGTTACAGTCAAAAAGGTGTCCCTACAACTCATTAGGTTTATTTGTAAAATGTGCATATTGTCAAACTGACAACTCAAATCATTCCATATCAAAATTTTATTTTGTATTGAGCCCACAAAACTCAACCTTTTAATGCCCCACACTCAGATTGAACTCAGGCCAAGGCCTTTGTGAAATGAGAGCTCATTAGACATGTCCACCTCATAATGAGTGGCCAGATCCATCAGGAGAGATAAATCTCCCGCTCTGCGCTGACTGAGATCCAGTTGAACGCGCCCGCAGCGCTTCAGACCACATGTGAACAAGATATTTGCTTTGAAGCACCAACACACAGATTTCGAGTCAGAGTGCCAAATGTCCTAGGTTGTGAGTGACAGTGGGTTCGCTTTAGAGTTGGCTACCTGTTGAGAAGGATTAAACAAAATACAGATGGTGTTTACATATTGAACAAACAAAGGCAATCTCTATTCTGATGATGGTAAAAAATACTTTCATCAAGAGAGGTCATAGTTAAAAGTGGGATATGACAAATAAGCTGCAATTCATCAATTCTATACCTATAAGCCATCACAGTTTTGATCAAGACTTTTCTCTCCTCCAAGTGTTCCAACATCTGTTCCTCATGAAACAGTCCCTGGCTGCAGATAGGAAGTCATGAATGATGTTTTTCTGGCCTGTGATAGAATCACATATGACCCTGAGATCACCTCTGAAGGACGAAGGCTGCTGAGTGTCCGGCCATGTATTCTGGCCATCAGCACAACATGAGCGCGGTCTGATCCACTGCGGGCCGAGTTGACTAAATTAAATGAATTACCAGCTGCCTTGTGCAAGCTCGCAGGATGCAGGGTGGCATGGGCACGCCATTACAACAATGATAAAGATATCTGCATGGCCTTGTGTTAAAGGAATTACACATAGCATCCAGAG